TTGCGATAACAATTACATAACAGCCACGTAGCTTCTGCATGTCATCGATTCTCTTCTATTGAACTTGGTGTGCTCGAGTATGTTGCTTATTGTTACTTGTTTATTGTGGAGCTTAATAAGGTGACATTTCGTGGTGTGGTTTGCACTCGTATTGCTTCAATATGTGTACTTTTCAAGCATTCCGTGTGCTCTTTAAGAGGGGGCGGCCAATTTCATAAGGGCAAACCAAATGCTGTGACCCTCCCCTTGTTATTTTTTTTATACCCCAAGAAGAGTAAATATGTTATTCCAAATGGTGATCCTCCTTCATAAAAAAACCTTGTATCCACCTTTGTGTACCGTAAAATGTTAATAGATGTCTCAAGTGTGTCAACACTGTTCAAAACTGAAAAAATGCTGTTCTTGAAAATCTGTTATTCTCAACTGTGGGTGCGCTCCCACTGTTTAGGCACAAAGGTGGTTTCGCAAATGTTCAGTAGGTGATACACAACTGCCCTGCTTCAAACGGCGTGAAATAGTGAGGTGCAAATAAGCCCCGAAAGTGATGACGTGAACCCAAATGTTTTACGCCTACTGTGCTGTTTACGAGCACATGCCCCCTTAAAAGAGTATTCAATAAAATACCAGCTAATCAGCACCTACTTTATGGATATGCTTTTCATTTTTCTTTTTCACGCACAGAAGACTAAAAGCTTAAAGAATTTTGTTGTGTGTTAATGCTGTAAATAGCGTACGTTGATGACTACAGCAGCAAAGCATTATTTATTTGCAATATAAAGAAATAGTTTCAAGTTAGATGTGCGATAAATTGGAGGGGATATATTGTAAGTATTCTAAATAGAACAGGGCAGACATGAAACAAAAAAAGAAATGGGGCCACACTAGATTAGTCAAGGCTATTCTCAAGGTCAAGACATGAGAATAGCCATGAAAGGTGCATAGAACGGGTGGAGGCCACAATTCGTCAACAAAATGAAGACAAAATGGCATCCGAACAACATGAATTCGATTGAAATGAAGCGCTTGAGCCCAAAAAATAAAATTTGCCTGTTTTCCACCACACGTGCAATAATTCTACGTACCACACGTACAATAAAAGAAAGATCTGTGGTCCTCGCGTACCTTCATGATTCACTGAGAGCATCACAATGGGGGACATGGGGCAAAAGCCACCGAAGCAGCTGCACCTTGCAGTCACGTGGTAATAAACTCTGAAACGCAGGTTAAAAATCACGTGATAGAAAACTCCCTACGTGGTAAAACTGGATTTTGACATCCTTTTACTACTTGCCAGAGAGGTGGTGGTAAAACTATGTCATTTACCATCTTTTACTCCTACACGAGGTAGTAATTTTAAACCCGAGAGAGTTTTCAGAGGTCATGAGCCGCGAAAACCCCAAACTCAGATAGTTTTTGCTTACAGTGCACCGTTGGTACGATGCTTCACCCAGAAATAAACACTGGCAAACCAAATGCTGAAAACGTGACCCAACATGGTCACATGTGTGTGTACTTTTACTCTCAGATACACCTCGCTCTAATTGCGACTTACAGCAGACCGCGTGAACACAATACGGCAGCACGTAAAATACAATAACTAAGCGTATACATGCGCATGCTTTATTAGTAAGAAATGTGCAAAGCCATAGCAGTCCGCCTACGCCTGTCCGCTATTAACTTAGTCCTAAGAACATTACATGTATACAATCTGCGAATGTACCTTATTATGCTACCAGTGAGCGTATAAGCAAAACGTCGCAAAACTAACGAGGACTATGGTAGTGTGTACACAATACGAGCGCTAATTTTCAACATTTTTGACAGCTTAACCGCTAAGGAAATCTCTGCAATGGTGCGAAGCGATTGGTCAAATTATTACTTGTGATTTAAGGCATAGCAATTGTACCTGCTTCTTTTCGTTGCAACAAGATTATAGCACACTACATTATCGCTGTTTCATATAATAAACCGCGGAGCCACCACAGCTGTATGGGATGGTTCTTTGAGAAAGAGCTCTAGTCTCAGGGCTCTGATGACAGAGAAACAAAGAAGAAATAATTCTGCGTATGGCATTTCAACAATGAAATTGATGTACTACATAAATTATAATAAAAGCACTATCTCAATCGGGCTGCAATTGAAAAGAATTTTCGAGGCAGCCTTACCAAATTACGCATATATCTACAGATTTTGCCGGGTTTACTGAGCTTAATGTGTGCTGTGTGTTGGTATTACTGTGTTCTGCGAATGGTGCTGAAGTATAAATCAGGATGCTGACGGCATGGCACCAACAGTAAACTGAGTCTAGCTGTTTCAACCCAGCACCTCACATTCGTATATGATGTCAGATATATGATGCATATTTTCTCTAAAATTGGCCTCATGTGGTTCAACCATCAAATCCATTAAGAAGATGCGTAGATTTAAAATACCATACTGATAGTGACACCGTTCATCGTGTCTGATCTTCTACATATGCCATGCGGTGACAAATTCCAGACATACATTTCAGCGTTTTCCCCAAGCCTGAATTCTATCATGGTTGCCTCGACAATTTACTCATCGCAAGTTCATCAGATGAGCACAGTTCAAATCAGAATTCTGTAATCCAACATCTGAACAAGGCACATTTGTCAGCTTAAGCAGGTGTGCATTTGATTTCCAAAAGCTAGCCTAGTCCTATCCTCATGTTCTCCCCATCCAGTATTCAGCTCTACACAGGCAGATTTATAGGTGGTTAGAGCTTCCTATCTCCAATCCTAGATGCTGATAAGCAATACAAGCTCCTTCGTCTTATTTTTGTGAACTACGTACTATACTAACACATTGTACCGTGGTGCCAGGCCATTATAAATATTCCCTCCACTTCGTGCTATTGATACAATGAAATGCTACTATATTGAGCTCCCTTAGACTATGAACTCCCATACAAACTTTTGGGGATCAACAGATGCTTGCGTGGCAGTATATGCTATTCCCCTAATATCAAATGAGAGTTCCGCTATACATCATCGTACGATGTCATCTTGAATGCAATTTGTGCTAGATCACTGACTCGTCAAAGGAGTATATATTGCGGCCAATCAGTTCTCTGACATGTCCTGAAACTTATACCCACTATATGAGCAGCATTACAGCATTTTTTTGTGGAGACTGAAGCCAATAATGCTCAAAAATGTCAGTGTATCATGTAGTAGGCCCTGTAACCATATCCTGCAATGTGACAATGCGACTGAATCTTGAAGTGGCACAAAACAATCTACTCAGGTGGTACGCAAACCCACCTGATGCTATACTACACCTCATGTTATTTGCCTGCGAAAGTCTTTGGATTTACTGTGTACTTGGGTGTGTGTGAAAGACTTTCTAATTGTGATATACCTAATTGTGCTTACAAGTGGGCATAAATGGTAAGTGCTTATGTATGTCATCACATTAATACATGGAATAAATTACGTGATTGCTTTGTCATAGAATACGTGAGTACATCTTTTATCGGTACATGTTACACTCCCTGAGTTACAATCGTTGCATCTATAATCTCATGAACAGCAGCAGATGTCAAACATATCCGAAGCATATCATAGGAGCTGTCAACACTGTCATTGATGCCCTGTGACATAGCCCAAACAGCATGTTCACCTGTCCTAGAGAAATATACACCTTAAAAAAGTGGTGACTGGTTGACATGACAATAAATTCTGCCATCTGCAAGAAATATAAGCTTCGACGCTGCTTGACTTTCAGTGGTGCAGGGTCGTTTGCCAGTAACAGGAGACATATTAGCTTCAACACATGCTGTGACTCAAGAACTGACCATTTATGCCCACTTGCAAGCACAATTAGGCATATTACTAGACTGCCTTTCATGCGCAAATATACGGGAAATCCAAAGGCTTCCCCTGAAAGATAACGTAAGGTGTATGGCATCACGTAGGTTTACGTACCACCTGTGTCGAATGCTTTGCAGCACTTCAATATTCAATCACATTGTGACATTGCTGGATACGTTTGCAGGCTCAACCACTTAATTCAGCGAGGTTTCTGAGGATCTTATCGTGCCATTGACTATACTGCTGCCTTGCAAAAGACAAACTTATAGGCTTGTGTTGATTGCATGGTTCAGCGTTGGGTGGAATATATTCTTCAGATATTTCTAGGTCACGCACTGTTGCTCCTGCTTTTGTAGCTGCTGGCTCCATCAGTCATGTCATCCTTGGTCCCAAGAGATAGAGCAAGTCCAACATGGACCGAGGGTATTCCACCAAGCCCTACCTACCAATGAGCAATGCAAATAATGAAACGTATATGCATGACATTCAAGGCAGACATTGGTTGCAATACTGTAAAACTTGCTTCAGGCCTGACTGTAGGTCTACCCAGTGACCATGTTCTTCTACTCTGATCGACACGAAGCCCACCTTCCTGTCAGTGACTACACATCTCATCTTTGTTACATCATAAAGAAGCTTCTACCTATTGCTGTGTGACAAAGCATTAGAAGGCACATATGGTCGCGGTGAACTATACTCCTGCACACGCATGCATAATGAAATGATATGGGCTAACCATCCCGCATTGGTGTCATGTTGACAACTTTAAAAAACCTTTCTCTCAAGTAGCTCTTACTGAAGTTTTATGACAACAAGACAGATGAGTCATTTCCTATGCAGAAATCATCATCAGTGCTCAAATGGCCTGAAACAACAGAAATATCCCACTTACATAACATCAATAAACATTCCCCACAATGCCATAAATAAAATTGCATGTTAACTGGTTGTCAAGTCAATCTGGCTAATAAAGCCTTTACCCGCATCATTTCTTCGGGCAAATTGAAAATATTTTTTTGTGTTTTATGCATTTGTTATGTCTGAAATAAAAATTTATGTGAAAAAAATGCCCACTTAAATTTGTGACACCTGAGTTATGATGGTTACAAAAATTATTGAATAACAGCTGTAATGTTATCATATGATTCAGTCTATAACGATGAGAAGTGATGACGCGGAAAACAGGCAACGGCGGGACAATCTGCTCTTTTTTGGTATAAATGACGAAGACAAAGAAGATTGGGCAACATCCGAGGAAAAAATAATAACTTTCTGTTCTCAAAAACTTGGCATCCCACTAACAAACGACCACTTTGAACGGGTACATAGACTGGGAAAGTACAAGACTGATAAGCAGCGGCCAATCATAGCTAAAATGAGTTCCTTTAAAAACAAACAAAAAGTTCTTTCTGCCGCGCATAAACTAAAGGGTACCGACTTCTCAATTGGTGAGGACTTCTCGCCATCTACACGTTATTGTAGGAAAAAATTAATTGAATTCGCCAAACGCCTAAAGAAGCCAATAACGTTGTCAGTGGACAAACTGCGCATTGATGACAAGACCTACATGTATGATCACGCAACGGATTCCGTTATACTTCACAAAACATAGCAAAGAAAGCATGCACACGCAACGGAACCTACGTGTTCATATTACCATAACAAGTCACCATTCATGCAGTTATGTTTTACTAACATTTGCAGCCTTATACCCAAACGCGATCAGCTTTGCTCGTTCTTAGAAGATAGTAACCCTGACATTTTAGCAATAACAGAGACTTGGCTTCATTCTGATATACCCGATCACGAGCTTCTCCCCGATAACAGCGCCTACAACATATTTAGGCATGACCGCGATAAAAAAAAGAGGCGGTGGCTTTCTACTAGCTATTAAAAAACACTGTCATCCTTTTGCGTCAATATAGACTCCACTATTGAAATTGAATGGACTACATGCATCACATCAGCAACAAAAATATTGATAGGTGTCTGCTATCGCCCTCCCGACTCGGATAACTCGTTTGTAGAAGAGCTGCGCAAAAGCGTTGATTCCGCAATTCGGCAATGCTCTCCTGATAATATATACTTACTCGGTGACTTTAATTTTCCCCAGATTGATTGGTCTCTCCTAACTTCTACCTGCCACGAAGCAATGGAATTTGTAAGTCTAATCCTAGATTATAACCTGTTTCAAGTTGTCAAGGAACCAACTCGTGGTACAAACATTTTAGACTTAATTTTAACTAACGCTCATGAGACTGTTAGCTCTACTCTGCACGTAGATGGTTTCAGTGACCATAAGCTACTTCAAATAACACTTAGCTTCCCACCCCACGTGTTACATAGCACTGTTAAAAAAATTCGGGACTATAACAGAGGTAATTACGAAGCCATAAATGATAAATTGGAAGCTTTTTACGATCAGGTTTTTCTTCCATCTTTCCCGTACCGATCAGTCAATGAAAACTGGATTCTCTTCAAAAACAAAATTATTAAATTGGTTGATAAATATATTCCCCTAATTTCTATCTCTAACGACAATAAAAATCCCTGGTTTAACAAAACGCTAAAGTCTCATAGATCGAAGAAGAAGCGGCTCTGCAAAATCGCAAAACGCACTTCGAGCCCTTCAGATTGGGAAAAGTACAAGGGTTCTTTGAAAGAGTACTGCTCTCTTGTAAGCAAAGCGAAATCTAAATATTTTACACACGATTTGCCTTCCATGTTAACTACTAATCCGAAAAAATTCTGGCAAGTAATTTCCCCTCACAATGCTACCACATCTGTCAGTATACAAGATGCTAACCACATGCGTCTATCAGATGTAGATAGCGCTTCAGTGTTGAACTCATTTTTTTCATCTGTGTTCACGTGTGACGATCATTCCAGAGTGCCCGAAGTTCCCGAGTTTGATTATACATTCATGGCACCTATTGACGTCAGCACTGAAGGGATTGCGAATCTTATTGGAAAACTTAAATTATCAACTTCTTCAGGCATTGATAACATTAATTCTAAGGTCCTCAAAAACACATAATATGCTCAAGTAAAATCCTGTACCGCATCTTCACGCAATCTTTATCAACAGGACAACTGCCGGCTGATTGGAAAATAGGTAAAGTTGTTCCCTTATTTAAAAGTGGCAATAGATACTCACCAGAAAATTATCGCCCCATATCATTAACATGCATTTGCTGCAAGATGCTTGAGCATATCATTTCTTCCCACATTTATTGTCATTTGGAAACCAATAACTTCTTTTTTGAGAATCAGCATGGATTTAGGCGAGGTTTTTCTTGCGACACCCAATTACTGGAATTTACCACTGATCTTCACTTCAATATGGATAATAATTTACAAACCGACTGCATTTTCCTAGATTTTTCTAAAGCATTCGACCGCGTACCTCATTCCCGTCTGATTTCAAAATTAACAGAACTTCGTTTAGATTCGCTAACCTTATCGTGGATCCATAACTTTTTGTCCTTTCGAAAGCAGTTCACTCTGGTTAATACCTCTTCCTCTCTAATTTCCGATGTCACCTCCGGAGTGCCTCAGGGTAGCGTCTTGGGGCCACTACTTTTTCTAATCTACATTAATGATCTTCCAACTAATATTTCTTCGTCAATACGGCTTTTTGCTGACGATTGCATTTCATACCGTTCTATAACCAGTACCGATGACCACCTTGCTCTCCAAAAAGACCTTAATCTCATTAACAACTGGTGTGGTGCATGGCAAATGACTTTAAATTTATCAAGTGTAATGTAATGTCCTTTAGTCGAAAAAAATTAACTGTTGAATTTGATTACACCATAAATAATTACAACGTGTCACGGTCGTCTTCGTATAAGTACCTCGGCGTTCATTTCACTTCTAATCTTACTTGGGCGAAACATGTAACCTACATATTTGCAAACGCATCAAGAACATTGGGATACTTACGTCGAAACCTACGAAACGCGCCAAATAACGTCCGCAAACAAGCTTACTTAACCTTTGTTCGCCGACAGCTGGAATTTGCATCACCCATATGGTCCCCCTTCCAAGCCTATCTCATTAACCAGCTAGAAGCTGTGCAAAACAGGGCGGCACGGTTCATTTCACGTATTTACAGTCGCCCCTCGAGCGTCACACAAATAAAACATGACCTTTCATTACAGCATCTAGACATACGGCGCACAGTTGCCCTCCTGTCTTTGCTTCATAAATATATTCACGCGTCCAGGCCACCATCCTTCCCACTAACAGCACCATTGCGCATGTCTAAACGACTTCACAAACAGCGAAGCATCACACGCATCTTTGGAAAAACAAAATTATTCAAATCATCGGCTTTGCCTCGTGCCATAGCACTCTGGAATGACCTACCCGACGTCATTGTCAATTTAACTAATCATGAAAAGTTTCGCGAGCAATTAATGATACATCTATCTCAATAGCATTGTATAACCTCCTTGAATTCTGTTTTTGTTCTTTGTGCTGTTTTGCGGCTGGGAAATTCTTGTTGTTGCTTGAAGCCCCTCTTTGTCATTTGTGCAACCAATGTTATTAGTTCCAATGTTATTACTTGCTTTGTATTTTTATTAGTTATTAGTTGCTCTGTAGTTGCTTTGCTTTGTAGTTTCTTTGTATTGTGGCAGAAGTATCACCCACTAGCATTCTTCCTATGTACCCCCCTTACTCTATGCTCCGCAATAGAGCCTGTAAGGTATTTTTAAATAAATAAATAAATAAATAAATAAATATGTTTTGCATTGGTTTACAAATATGCTAGTTATCGAGTGCCACAAATAGAAACTGAGACTGTATTTTCAATTTTTATTGCCTGGTACTAGAGCTCAAGTGCTATGATAAACAAAGTGTAACTTCATGTTTGCTGTGAGCTTGACCCCTGCTACAAGAGCTCACTCAAAAAAGGTGGAGGCACTATTCTAAATACCTGAATTTTCAATCAGTTGGAATAAAAGACGGTGTGGTCTTGCATCTTGAGCTTTGTCTCAATTGTTGATAAACAAGCTCGAGGTCGTAAATCATGCTTAATTGTCTTTCCTAACTTATTCACATCTTAAAGCACTGAAGCTAGTAAAGCCACATTTGCAAAAATTAAACATCAAACGGTTCTTCAAACATCCGATGGTTCTCCAAACATTTTGAGGGGAATGCTTGGTCATAACTCTGGGATGTTTAGTATAGGAACCAGAAAGCTTGAAACGCCATAGGAGCCAGAAAGTTTGAATAGGACTGACAGATTAAGTTGGTAGGAATTCATGATATTAGAACAGTACAACGAAGAAGATCAAAAACAAATGAGCAACAGGGACACAAGTGCCGATTCGCGGCTGAAGTTTATTCAAAATTACAAAACAGATATATACTACATCCACATGGCAATACGCGAAATTGACCACCAATACCAAAGAAAAAACAAGCTGTACGCAAGAGTGAAGGTTTTGTTTACTCTGCAGTATAAATGAAAGAAATCTGATGCATGATTGTTTTTTATTTTGACTGTACCTTCCCAATTGGTCCCCTTTTTTTTTTTCAAAACATCATCACAGGACAACTCAGGAAGCCTGTGCTCGTGCACGTTACTCAAAAGTCTTTTTTCCTTCTTTGTCGTGCCAATCTAAAAACCAGAAAGCTTACTGGATCTCAAGATTAGTTATAGTAGTTCTTCCCCTACTTGTTTATGTGAAAATCCTCTAGTATGAGCTCTTTTCGGCTCCACTGTTGCTATAATTGTTGTGTATCTTCTGCCTGAGTAGTTTTTTTTTTGTAACCTCTAGCACACTGAAATAATGCTACTATTCTGACTCCCGGCAGCTTTAGTGCAAGGAACTGAATTTGTCGCTGACAGTAAGTCAGTGCAGCAAATTTTCCTGAAGTTCACTGAATCAAACACACATTCAAGGCAAATCAAGTAAGAGTACAGCTAGTGATGGCATTTTTTCCATCGAAAAAGCTGTTTGGAGCAAAGCACAGCATCAGATTTTGAGAAAGGCCATATAAATTGAGTAACATGTGAGCCCTATCTATGTACAATTATAATAATATTAATATTAATAATAATGAACTCGAGAGCCAAGTCTGACAGGCACTATACAAGAAAGCACGTTGTTTGTCATGCTCTGATCAGCTTCCAAGCCTCCCTTTAACTTAAGCAAGCCTGGTTTTATCCACTCATTGCATGTAGAAAAATATTAGAAACACAGTACAAATGTTTCTCTATATTATACACAGTGTCACTAGAGCAACAATTTGGTTTTTTTTCAAATTCTAACACACTTCAAACTTGCAATACTCAAAAGGCGTCTCAAAGTTTACATGCCTCTCTTACTGATATTTATGTCTTTCATTCCTTTCACTAGGCACAACTACTACACAAACATGTCAGCGTGAATATAACAAATGGCTCAGACGTGAAAGGTGACAAAGATGACCATGCTGGCCATTGCTCATTTATTCGAAGAGCACCATCTGCATGCAGCCCCACCAGTTCCCTCTGTCTCCTTTAATTTGAATACACTCCCAGCAAAAACGAAGGTGATGAGCTTATTACAGAGAAATTTGTGAGACGGTTTCTATAAACCTGAAAGCAAGAGTATTTTA